AGAACCCCGTGAGCCCCTACAGAAGATACTTACTAATTTACTATACATCATACAAGATAAATAGAAGTATAAACATAAAAGATATCATTTCATACATCAAAAGTATGACAAAGTGGAAGTCTAGTATAGGTCTCAATAAGCCATCTACTATATCATAGGAAAAGTGATTAAGACGTAAACTCATGCTTACATACCAAAAAGTCTAAAAACAAACAATAACATAAAGTTATAAAGTGTTACAGTCCTCAGAATATGAGGACTCATCAATCACTTAAAACACCCAATAGATGTCTTGACACGAGTGTGTGAGGTAGGAACGTCGAATTCTATATTTTTGATATAATGTAGGCACAGGTATGCATTAGTACGTGAAATATACTAAATATGGACAAATATGAATAAACATGGACATGATAACATGAATGATTTAAAACATGTAGACATGATCAACGTTTGAAGATTTTAAACATAAAGAAGTAAAACATGAAAATCATAGGATATTAGTCAAGGCAATTAAAATAAAGGACATAAGAAAAGCTTTGAAGAAAACATAGTCATTTTGTGGAATATTAGATTTAACCGATAATTAGACCATGAGAGCTATATCCCTTAATATGGTATATCCCTCATATCAAAAGAAAGGGAATCTACTTGCCTAGGTAGAGTCCGTACGTATCATCTTATGCTAAATAGGATCCACCAGCTAGGTCATTTAATACAATTCTATGAGGGCATTTAGTTTTAGACTAGAGGTTGCTACTAGAGACTATCCTATTTGAGTTGCTACTTAAAGCTCTCCAGGTGCTAAGTCTAAATTCCAACGGAATATATTAAAGTCAAATATCAATTTAGCATAGGAATGACAATGATAAATACCAATCCACATCTTTCAAGATCAAAACATAAAAAACCTCCTTAAACATAATCCAACATAGATGAGAAAATATTTCATCAGTGTGGGTCCATATGTGAGAAAAATCTTTCTCAATCATGATCATAATAACATGTTAGAAAATCTTTCACAATAACATCGATACTTTCCTTTCGAAGGATCCTCAAATAATTTATAATAACTTCATAAAAACATGCACATCTTCATAAATACATAATTTATAGGTTCATAAATTCATCATGAGTTCATAGTTGAAAATCATAATTTAGTCATCGTTCAACATAATATCAACTAAATATCATGTACTAACATTGAATCGACTTAATTCAAAATAATTAATCACAATTGAATGATACCCTTAAAATTGAAATGAAACCCTAACTTAAACAATTGAATTACAACTTTAGAATTTGTAAACTTTGAGGACCACAAGGACGGAATGACTCCATGAGTGAACAATCATATACCTTGATCCTTTAAGCACAAAAATAATGGTGGATTGAAGATTTGGACGAATCCCATCTCTTCTTCTTCCTCCTTAGTCTTGAGAGGGTTTAGGGAGGATGAGTTTGGTTAGGTTTAGGGGATTTAATCAAATGATTTGCAATGGGTAATTTGGGGCTAAAAACATTGTATAGGGCGAAATAGTTTTGATTAAAATAATTAGGGAAAAGATCCAAAAGTCGACATAAAAGTATCGAACTAGACCTACAATTCTGACCTACAAACCGTAGGACTTTATACGATCTGTACTGGTCAACTGTTTTCTTCAACTGTAGAAAATACTACGACCATGATTCACCTATCTTTTGATGGAACATTTCTATGGTTCGCAGGTCTTCGTACGTTCCGTAGATACCAACTGTGGAAACCAACTATGATCCTCAAAATTTTACCAAGTGTGCACTCACTTACGAGACCTATCTAGGACTCGTACATAGAATGACAGACCATCTTGGTGAACTGTAAAAAGAATATTGGGACTTGATTCTTAGAAAAATTATTTTTCCCTTCCGACGTTTGCCATGTACGGCTTGTAGAAGCTTCTACGATCCGTAGATGGGACTCGTACAACCAGATTGTAGTCAAAAAAATTTCATTTCCTTCTTTTCTAAATCCAAGGTGTTACACATACTTTAAGTATATGATCAGTAGTGCTTCTTTAAATCTGAATTGTACTTTACGTTAAAACATGACTATATTTTTGTGAAAATACAAGATTCTGCTTTCTCAAAACTGACTACGCTTTCTTTAAAGATGAACATCCTTTGTTTTAAAAATATGTCTATGCTTTCTCAAATTTACATACTTTAAATTCTCTACAAATCTCGAAGAAGAATCTTAACTTAATGAAGAATGATCAAGAAACTCTTTCTTGATATTCTTGGCTTTATTTCTTGAAAACCCTATGTTTTTTATGGTAGACTCTTGATTAGAATACATAATTATATGCTAGAAACGCTGTGAAATCGTGAGAGTATGTTTATCTTGATTTGTAAGGAAGAACTTTTGAAGGACTTGCTCAAATATCAAGTCTTGAACCTAGAAATTGAGTTCTTTGTTTCACTACATATAGGAAGAGGATTTGATGTTGGAATCTTGTACAAATTGATGAATTTATGTTGTAAGATCATGAAAAATACTTACCTAGATTTAGTAGGGTACAAGAGAGCTTTTGGGGGATATTGGGGTCGACCAAAGAGAGAAAAGTGAAAAATTGAACTCCAAAATAGTGTTTATAACTTCAGCTACAGCTGCGTGGGTGGCATACATGACCCACTTAGCCCCCCACATGAACCACGTAGGTCTGGGGATGTTTTTGGATGCATTCTAGAAGTTGCCACGCAAGCTACGCGACCCTGGTCTGCCCAAATGTGTAGCTGCTTTGCCACTCTTTAGTTAAATGATCATAATCTTTTACTCATAAATCAGATTGATGTGCGGTCGGACGTTGGAAACTAGACTCAAATATATCTAATTTGATAGGCTAAGGATTACCTAATTCTTCATATACTAGTAGATATGGTCATTTGAAATTGACCCTCAAATAAACTTATGTGAAATTCATAGTCGATTGGAAAATTTTGAGTTCAACTTATTGCTAGAGGTAATTCCTTAACTTCTGAATTTCTATAATAAAATCTCGTAGAGTGAGATACCACAGTTTCTTACTATAATGAAGTAGCTCAATCATAAAGAAATAATCCTTATCAATATGAGAAAACTGCTACAAATCCCTTTTCTCCAACGGACGATGAGATCCTATCCTCGATAAATGCAACCCAATAGTCAAAGTGGGTTATAATATGAGTCCGGAGCATAAAGGTATAAAATATTAACAAAAAATTCAAAGCGGTATATAAAATTTTATATTAACTAAAACGGTAAAATCGCTGGAACAACAACGATTTCCTCCACCAGAAAAGCAAAATCGCTGCTACTACATCAATTTTGCAAATGTGATTTTTTTTTTTTTAAAAATTCAAATCATTACCTAGACAGCGATTTTCAAAAAAAAAAATGAAGCTAATGATCAGTGATGAAAAAATATGAAGATTAACATTATATGACATTGTGGAAATATAAATTAGAGGTTAAAAAGTTAGAATTCTATTTGAACTCAAACATCATTTAAATTTAAATTCAATATAATATCTTTTTTAAAAAGAAAATATTTTTGTTATCTTACTTATTCTTAATTTTTTTAAAACAATGCATATTTTCTTATAAGCTATTTATTTGAATTTCAAAAAAATATTTGAAAATCAATAAGATTTCTTTTTCTTACTATTTTCCAATTTTTTTTAAAAAAAATAAAACCGCTGCCTAGAATTTTTTTTTTAATAAAGGAAATCGTTGCCATTGTAAAAAAAAAAATTTTTTGGTTAGAAAATCGCTGCCTAGGCAGCGATTTTTTCATTAATTTTTTTTTAAAAAAGAAAATCGCTACCTAGGTAGCGATTTGATTTTTTTTAAAAAAAAATTAACATTTTGCAAAATCGCTGTAGTAGCAACAATTTTGCTTTTTGCGGTGGAGAAAATCGCTGTTGTTCCAGCGATTTTACCGTTTTTAATAACTAAAATTTGATATGCCGTTTTGAAATTTTTGTTAATATTTTATATCCTTTAGACTCCGAACTCATTATAATATAGTCATTTATAAGATTCTCTCAAAGAGACCCCTAAAATATGCCAATAAAAGCTCGAGAATATTTCAAAGGAATGCCTCCCCCCCCTCCCCCCCACAACACACACAAAGGAAGAAAAAGAAATCCTCTTTATTGAGAATTTCACAACTTGAATTTACAACCACATACACTATCTAAAGGGCGAAACAACACATCTTGAGTCATACACACTCCAATAACATTTGCAATTAACTTCATAAAGATCAAGCAAATCTTCAATCTGTGACAACGATAAATTATAACATAAACTAGTGAAAATGGACAAACAATGATGAGAATGAATTGGAAACCGGAGGAAATTGATGGAATTTTTCTAGGATTTTTCATATCTAAAATAATTCAAGTGGAAAAATGTACATTTTATCTATGAAAATGGAAGGGGAGTCGATCAAATACATGTTTAACAACATGCACTTGTTTAATCTGACACCTAAATGAGTTCTCAACTTGTTGTATCTAATGTAGACAAATTCACATATAGTTTTGTGTTCATATGCTAAATGATAATCATAATGTTTACTAAGATTCTTTTGAGTTAATATAGAGTTTTACAATATAGTTGGAATTAGATAAAATGTTTCTTCATAACAAAACTTAAAGTTACTTTGATGTCAAATCAAAGGAGTAGAATTTTTGCACATCACAAAAGCCAATTAATTAGTCAAAGAGAAAGAAATGTGTCTTGGCTGCATTCGAAGCATTCTCACCTCAACCAACAATATCCAAATCCTTTAATATCTCATGCTAATAATATTCGAAATAAAATCCTCAGTGCTCTCCACGTGTCTAATTCTCATTTGGTAACACTTTAAACGTGCTTTCTTTTTAATATTCATAGTCATATATTTATTTTATTCCCCTACTTTTCTTTCTTATATACCCCTCCCCACCCCACTTCCACACTCTCAACACTGATTACATTATATTAAAAAAAAAAAAACACTGATTACATTACCAGAAAAATACACTCTTCACAAGAACGCGATTGTATTTTTATTTGTAGATAAGAGTTTGTAGTACAGAACAAAGATAACCCACTAACCCCACCCCCATCCCAAAAAGGGACCAAAAAACAAACCAAAATATAATTAGACAAAAAATAAGAGTAAAGTTGAAAGCTGTATAGGGGTCTTCAAAGTTGCTTGTTAGGTCCTCAACTATGCATGAAAATTTTATAGTATTTAGTTACCACTATAGGTTTCTCTGTTGTTGCTTTCTTTGAAGATTCTTGTTTTTTATTTTTTTGGGGTTTAATCTTTATGGTATTTAAAGACTGCTAGTTCTTGGGTTGTTTAAAAATTGTGTCTTTTATTTTTTATCAAGAAAAGGGGTTGTGGTTTTATGCGATTCTTGAGTTTCTTTTGCAATTTCAGATCGATGAAAGTTGGTTGAAATTTTGAATCAAAGTGAATTTTGGAGTCAATATTTGGTTTGAGTTGTTTGAAAGTTGTATTGAACAAGTATTAAAGGAAGAAGCTTTGTTTGCATATGAGGGTTGGAGTTTAGTCTAGTATGAAATATCCATGTGGTAGCATGAGAATATAGTATTGACTTTTCAGTGTTGGGGGTAAAAGTGGTTGTTTGCAAGTAATTTATAGGTTTAAAGTGTGTGAGGGTTGAGAATGAGGCATTCAGGGATAATTTGATTCGAATTTCGCAACTATGAGTTGCAGTGAGAAGAGCAGAGAAAGAGAAGAGGAAGAAAATCCTGTTGGTAGTGTACATAAATATGTTGAAGGTGTTTCGCGTAATGGATCAATAGTACCCTCGACACACTTATCTATTGATGAGAGAGTGTTGGTGGATCCAAAACAACTCTTTATTGGAACGAAAATTGGTGAGGGAGCTCATGGAAAAGTTTATGAAGGAAGGTAGGTGGCGCTGTTCTTGTAATGTTACCTAGGCTAATGATTTCAGATAGCAGTTTCTCGTTGTAGATTCGGAAGGTTGCAATAACAGTATAGAGCTGATTATCTCTGGTGTTCTGCCACATTTCATTTCCTACTTCAAACTTGTGACGTTGTAAGCCTGTAACTAGTGGATCATGCTGTAGGTGATTGACCATTGTGACACTGTTCCATTGGTTTACTAGTAGGCTACTGTCATATAATTAAGAAAATGTAATGTGAGAGTTTGCTTGCCATTTGGAAAGGGCTTACAATTGGAAATTGATACATTCATTGATTCTTACATTGTAACTGCGAGTAATTATTTTCTTCTGGTGATGTTTCTAGTGTGGATATTTTCCTTTGTCTTGTGAAGCAGTCAAACCTGACAATATCTGTCATTTTAACTACTTGAAGATATAAAAAACATTTGTGTTTTTTGTTATCTGCTCTGATTTATCGTACATTTTTCATCTAGCGAGAAATGCTTCATGTCTCTCCAGGTATGGTGATCAAATTGTTGCAATAAAAGTTCTTAATGGTGGTAACACCTCAGAAGAAAGATCTGCACTTGAAGGCCGTTTTGTTCGGGAAGTTGTTATGATGTCAAGAGTAAAACATGAGAATCTTGTAAAAGTAAGTATCATTTTTCTTTTCCTTCCAAGTTCCTTCAACTCCAAATTAATATTCTGATTATCTTTTCAAAGTGTTGTGTTTAACTTCCTTTGAACAGTTTTTTTTGGTTAAGTTTAGCAGTCAATAAGGTGTTAGCTAGTAAATATTCACATACACGGTTATTTACGTTCTGTAGTTAGTTCATGTTCCTTTGCCTATTATGTAACTGGTGCTAAACCTTTTACATTTTTGGCCCAGTTCACATGATGGTTCATGTTTGCAGTTTATTGGAGCTTGCAAGGATCCTTTGATGGTTATAGTTTCAGAGCTACTGCCTGGAATGTCTCTTCGGAAGTACTTAGTCAGCATTCGACCAAACGTGCTTGACCTACACGTCGCCATAAATTATGCTCTTGACATTGCTCGGGCCATGGAATGTTTACATGCCAATGGCATTATACATAGAGATCTAAAACCTGGTACCACTTGGCTAGCCGACTGTAGAAGAATTTCTTCTTTTTGTTAATGTAGTTTTTCATTGAAATGTTAAACAGGCCAAATATTATGTTTTTTGGACTAAATTCTTTTATCCATCAATATTTTACCGCTGGAAGAGTTCTTTTTTCTGGGTTATCTTAAAATTTATGTTGGCTCTACTATGGTCAGTAATCTAAATACCATTGAAGGAAGAGGTTATTAGTGCAGACATTGTGGTATACATTTCTGGCTCCACCTATCACTTCATCGCTTGCTATCTCACTTTTTTAATTCTTGTAAAAAGAATCTCAAATGTAGTAAAGCCAACAGAGGATATCAAACTCATATTTAGTTGATATTTTCCCTTGATGTGTGGTTCAATTCATGCTGCTAACTTGGAGTATATTCTTAAGTTGGCATCACCAGCTGTTTACCTTCCCTATTGAATTCATTAATGTGCATTCTTTTTTAATCTTCTCATGTCTAAGAAAGAGCACATGTGAAATGTCATTCATGCAGACAATTTGCTGCTCACGGCCAATCAGAAGTCTGTGAAGCTTGCTGATTTTGGGTTAGCAAGGGAAGAGACCCTTACAGAGATGATGACAGCAGAAACTGGGACATACCGGTGGATGGCACCTGAGGTTTGTATCTATTTAAGCACGTGTTTATCAACCCGATAATATCACGAGTGAACCGTTTAGTTTGCTCCATTAGGCATGTAAATCAACCCCTCTTTGAAATTTGTTGGTTGTTATATTGTTACCAGATTTTTTTTTAAAAAAAAGAGGTTGTTGGTTGTTATTATCTTATATGCATTTATCAGTATCTTTTTGTATGAAAGATTAAATTATTTACATGGTTGATAAAATGGTTAGGGCAGTAACTATAATTCCACTATTGTAAATTGAGAAGACTACACTTTGCAATTTCTCATCTGATAGATTTGTAAAGGCTGGGAATTATGATGTGGAATAGGATTATTTACCTGCTGCATAGGAATATATGCTCAAGTAGTGACCCATCAGAATTCTTTGCAAGTTAGAGGTGAAATATGATACATTGAATGTGTTATGATCCGTGGTTATAGATCTAGTTATTGGACTCTGCAAGATAAAATTTGAAGTTTTTTTTCTACGACCTATGGTGTAATGTTGGTTAGTTAAGAGAAAACCTGCAATCTCTTGAGTTGAATTACTCAAAAACTGAAAATACTTTTTTGCTGTCTCAAATAGTTTCAATACAACATTTATAAGATAACTACCCCTAGAAATTAGGACATGACTTCCTAACATTACAGGAATGAGAAATGCACTATCACAGGAAAATAACTACTACTAGAAAAAACTACTACTGTAACTATTGGATGACTAAGGGCCCGTTTGGATGGGCTTAATAAAAACAACTTTAAAAAAGTACTTTTAAAAAAGCTAAAACTTATTTTTAAAATAAGCAGTTATGCGTTTGGATAAAAGTGCTGAAGTTATTATGTCAAACGTGAAAAGGGAAAAATGGAAGAAAGAAATGTTAGGGTTATATGGGTAATTTGGAGATTGTATAAAAATATTAAGCACAAAAAGATAAAAATGTGGTCAACTTAAAACAGCTTATAAGCTAAAAAAAAAAGCACCCCTACCGCAACTTTTAACTTTTGGCTTAAATAAGTTTTTATTTTAACTTAAAATAAGTTATTTTGAGTATTGCCAAACAACTAAATAAGTCAAAAACCAGCTTTTAAGTCAGTTTGACCAGCTTTTAAGCTGAGCCAAACAGGCTCTAAGGAGTGATAGCATAACTCTCCTTCTTCAAATTGCACTTGTTCTCAAGCACTAAGTGCAGAAATTAGTATTTCCCTCTCCAACAAACTCTTCCTCATCGTCTATAAGTCAATCCAATATAATCTCTTGAATTGATGACCTCGGGTGAATGGTTCATCACAGTTCAAACAAATTCCCTGAAGTCGCCTTTCCTCCATTTCAGATCTGGTTAGTTTCTTCACAAATCTGGCATGTTGTTGAGGTGAGAAATCTGTTGTATTGGATTTGCAAGCATCTAATGATTGCGAACAAATGGGTTGTTCCTTGTGTTCATAAAGTCAGCGATAAACTCATTTCCATAGCCAAATTTGTAGGATTATGCAACTTTACCTCAATTGCGCAGTAAGACCACATCTATAAAGTTTAATTTGTTGAGACCGAGTGAGTGTACTAGCTTGCGAATTAAATGCTCAAACTTTTCTGGGCAATTTGTCAAAGACCCGATTTGGCATAATTTAGCCAATTCTCCCAATTTCTAACTTCTGATTGGTGGCCCAAAGTGAAGGTTACATTGAAATTTGAATTCAGTCCACGATGATTGAGGTATCCGTATATCTATCTCTAGTTGAAGAAACCAAAGTTGTGCGTTAAAGAAGCAAGTCCAACCTTTTCTTCTCTAGAGTTTGTTAGTGTTGAAAGAAGTGTTCATATATGTTCAACCATCTCAAAGGGTCCTCTTGGCTATCAAATCGTGGGAAGTCCAACTTGTATGTCGAGGAATGATGAAACTTCCTCCTACTTCTGATCCCGATCCTCCTGCCACTTCATTTTTTCCCTTCCAATCGCGAACAAGTCTTGTATTTTCATATGAATCAAAATCGACCTTAGAATTCTCGAAATCCTATGTGAGTACATCCAAATGAGCATTTATTGCTTCCTGTCTAGCCAAATTGGCTGCACGTTCTTCTTGGAACAAGTTCACCAATTATATGAGTTGATATTTAAATTAATGTCTCATAACTCCTGTCTTTGATACCAAATTGTTATGATCCCGTGTTCTGGATCTAGTTATGGAACGCTGCAAGATAAAATCTGAAGTTTTCTTTCTACGACCTATGGTGCGGTTCATTAAGAGAGAACCTGCAATCTCTCGAGTTAAAGTACTCAAAAACGAAAATTACTTTTCTACTTCTCTTTCTGAGACAAACAAACATAGATTTAATACAAGACAAACAGAGACAGATTTAAATACAACACTTATAAGATAACTACCCCTAGAAACTAGGACATGGCTTCCTAACATAGTTGGAATGAAAAACTGCACTATTACAAAAAAATAACTACTACTAAAAAGAACCTATTGGATGACTAAGTAGTGATAACAAAATGTAATGATTTGAAAACCAAATTTACATCCTATTTACCCACCCCTAGAAATTGTAGCATGCAAAAGGAGTTTCCTCAACTTATACACTATCCACTTTTAACATGTTTCACTTTTTGAAAGTCAATTTGATTAATTTTTAAAGTTAAATTGGATTATAATTTGATATTTTAAACAAAAAAAATAGATACTTAAAATTTGCAGGAAAAGTACTAAAATTCCAATTTTCACATATCAATAGGATGAAAAAAATATAGCGAAAAGGGTTAAAAATACCCCTCAACTTTGTTTTATTGGTTGATATGCCCTTACCGTTAAATTAAAGTTATTTTTACCCCTGCCGTTATTAATTTCAACATTTATACCCCTATGTTGACGCAAAGTCCCGAATTGACCGATTTTAATTAAAATTACCCGATTATATATTTTAACCCCTAACTTGACCCAAAATCTTCTTCACCTCCTGTTTCTATAGCAAAAGCTCAGAACTTCTCCACCTTCAAAGGTCCATACTTGCCCAACAAATCAACAAAACACCCATCATCTTCCCCCAAAATCTATCTGCTTTGAGAACCCAAATTGGCAAGAACTCACATCGGAAAGCAAAAATGATGCACATTACCTTTTATTGAGGTAAAAAAGTGACCCTTTCTGGAGAACTGAATGCTGTCACCGCCGCCGCTAGCGTCGCCATAAATGCTCCTCTGCTTTACACTTTTTGACCGTCGGTGGTAAGTGGAACTCGGCGAGATTCGCTACGGCGATCGTTTTTGGGATCAATTCGACATTGGGTATATGCTTATGTTGGCTGTTCAGCATTTTGTGGCTATCGTTCTGAGCTTGGCGATCGGATATTTTCTATTTAGGATCGGTGAGGATGATGTTAGCATTGATAATCCATGTGATTGTGCTCAATATATAATATTAGTTAATGAATTTGGTTGTATTTATGAAGACTGATTCCTTTTAAAATATATCGTAAAATGTCAGTCAAAGTTATTGTTAGACTCTAAAAAAGGTTAAAAGCGGATGGAGGTAGTATTAAAAATGAAATCTATGCCCCCAGGGATTTGATTGTGGTAAGAGCAAAGTGCCTGATCTGAAACCTGCTACATACAAAAGCATGATATTTAAGTCAGAATGGGTGAGGAGGATTGTCCATTATTCACCGAGTTACGAAATCGTGTGATTGTTCCCCAGGAATTTTTCAGTTATCCAAAGAAAACTTTAAAAGAAATTCTGTGTAGTTTTTAATATCTTTTCTGTTCTGATTTCTGAATCACAATTTTATGGTCTTGATCTGAATCAAGCCTTGAACTGTTTCCTTTTTAACTTCCAAAGGTCACAATGGACTGTGCACTTTGGCATGATGATATTCTTATCCAATTTATCATCTTTAAGGCTGTTCTATGTTGTTGTCATCATTTTCCAAATCCCCTTGTAAACTGCTATCCTTCTTGGTTAATTTGGTAATTTGGCGCCCTCAAAAGTGTATTGATTTTGTGATATTCCTACTGTAATTCTCCAATGAACTTTCATGAGTTAACTATATATTTTGTGATATGATGGTGCTCTAGTGCCTTTATCAAGTTCAAATCTTTTGTCCTTTCTCTCTTTGTACTTATTCATTTAAATATGTTCTTACTTGGATCAATTTCAATACGTTTTCTATGTTTTATCCTAAATTTTCAAGGTTCCCCAATTATCTGTATTAATTGTTGTTGCAGTTGTACAGCACTGTTACATTGCGTCTGGGGGAGAAGAAGCATTATAATAACAAGGTCGATGTTTATAGTTTTGGTATTGTCTTGTGGGAATTACTGACAAACCGCATGCCTTTTGAGGGAATGTCGAATTTGCAAGCTGCTTATGCTGCTGCTTTTAAGGTACAAAGGGTTTTCTGTCATCATCAAGCTTTTCCTTAGTATATTTATTGTAGTACAATCGAGTATGCTCTTTGTTATTTTTGATTATGACTGTAAACACAGCCACCCTTTGGAGCAACTTCATTAAGAATCCCAACCCTTGAGCTTGGCTTGCCCGAGGATTGGAAATTCTTGATCTACTATTCACTTTTGGCTTGTGCAAAAACAATATAGACAAGGCTGAACTCATTTTTAGATTCATAGATGTGAAGTGGAAGAGAAAAATAAGAGAACTCAACTTGATTATTTCCTCAAGCCATTGTGGTTGTTTACATGTCCTTAAAAGGAAAGGAAGTCAATATCTAATTACAATACGAGTAAATTAACTACATATATTTACATTTATTCTAGAATATTCACAAGGATTGTAACACTCCTCAAGCTGGTGCATACATATATCCCTTGTTTTGTTACTGGCTAGGGACTTGGCAATACCAATTGCTGTTATTGAGCCATCTTCTTTCCTTCAGTGTTTGCGAAAACCAACAATGCCATCAGACTTGGGAACCTCCGGTGACAAATGTAGAATTACGATTCAATAGTATTTTTTCTCCTTTCTTCTTCGAACCTGATTTGGATCTAAGCAACCTCAACAAAACTACCTCAATGGACCAAGATCCTTGGTCTGAAAGTGCTGAAAAAGCTGATGTTTCAACTTGGTAATTCCCTCGTCATCATTGCCTGTGATGACTATGTCATTAGTGTATAGCACCAAGTACATGCACAACTTGGACCAAAGTGATGATAAAACCCAAAATGACCAGCTTCATTACGGATCATGCCAAATTCTTGAATAACCATGCTAAATTTTTTGAACCATGCTTGAGGAGATTGCTTCAATCCACAAAGTGCTTGTTAGTTGGTCCATATATATCTCATCTTCAAGATCCCTATGAAGAAAAATGTTTTTAATATCTAACTGGTGGAGAGGCCAATGATGAACAATAACCATATAAGGGAGAAGGTATCACCATTGTCAAGATAAAAAACCGTGTATAACCTTGGGGACTAGTTGTGCCTTTAGGTGATCAATCTGTTAACCGGGGCCAACCTTCACATCATATACCAAACGAGAACTAATTATAGACTTTCCTGGAGGTAGAGGAACAAGCTCCAAACCACAACTAGACTGTAAGGTGATAAGAATACCTAGAAAATACTTCAATCTGCCAAGGTCTTTAGTCTGGGAATGCTTAAAGAGATGTTGCTTCAAATCAGTGATACCATCTTGATCTTACCGGTGATAACAATATCATCAACATTAACAACTAAATAGATACATCGACTTTGTGCAGAATGCCGATAAAACACCGAGTGATCAGCTCCACTATGAGTCATGCCAAACTGCTGAATTACTATGCTGAACTTCCCAAACCAAGCTCAGACTATAGAGTGACCTATGCAATCGACATACAAGACTACTAGACTCCCCCTGAGCAACAAAACTAGGTGGTTGCTCCATATAGACTTCTTCCTCAAGATTACCATGTAGAAAAGCATTCTTAATGTCCAACTGATGAAAAGGCCAATGCCGAACGATAGCCATAGATAGAAAAAGGCGGACATATGCTATCTTAGCCACAGGAGTGGAAGTGTCACTATAATCTAGCCCAAATATTTGAGTATACCTTTTGTCAACAAGGCGAGCCTTAAGTCGATCAACCTGACCATCTGGGCCAATTTTGACTGCATAAACCCTACGACAACCAACTGTAGATTTACCTGCAGGAAGGGAGACAAGCTCCCAACTACCACTTTTATGCAAAGCAGACATCTCATCAACCATAGTATGTCTCCATCCAAAATGAAAAAGTACTTCACCTGTAGTTTTAGGGATGGAAATAGATGACAAATACGACACAAAGGCATAGTGGGTGATGATAGACGATGATAACTTGAGAAGGTATAATGTGGGTTAGTATTTCGAGTGGATCGTATACCTTTTTGAAGTGCAAGTGCTTGGCTAGGAGGAGGCAAGTCCGCAGTAGGAGCAGGGTCTGGCGCATAACATGAAACATTTGAGGCTAGGGCTGACGACGATGATAAGTTAGTAGTGGTGGCACTACAACTGGAGATGTAGAGGTAACCGTAGATTCTTCAAAGGTTGGCACAGGTAAAACTTGAGGTATGGGTCAGACCATAGATACATCAGGATGATCAGAAGATGTATAATAAGGTTGAGACTAACATCAGCGGAAATAAGGTATCGATGAAGATCATGTGAATAACAACGATGCCCTTTTTGAACTCTAGAGTAAACAAGAAAGACACATTTGAAGGCACGAGGAGCTAATTTATCTTTCTCTAGGGCTAAATTATGAACAAAGCATATGCTCCCAAAGACACGAGGGGGTATAGGATAGAGATGTGACTGAGGAAACAATATGGAATGTAGAACCTGATTCTGAATAGAAGAAGAAGGCTTTATGTTAATTAAATAACAAGATGAAACGATTGCATCGCCCTAAAAACACTACGGAACATGGGATTCAATGAGGAGAGTGCAAGCCGTCTCTATGAGATGCCTATTCTTTCTTTCGGCGACACTATTTTGCTGAGGAGTGTATGGGAATAATTCTGTGGTGAGACATAAATACCTGAAACTGGGATGATAAGGATTCTAAGGCATTATCACTACAGAAAGTACGAAAAGAAACACCAAATTGATTTTGTATTTCAACAGAAAAATTTGAATAGAGAAAATAACTCAGAAGGATCTTTCATTAAGAAAACCAAGTGCATCTCGAATAATCATCAATGAAACTAACAAAATAACGACATCCTAAGGTGGAATTGACTGTACTAGGACCCCAAATATAAGAATGATTTAATGAAAAAATAGACTCTGAACGACCCTCAGTACTACGTGAAAATATAGCACGAGTGTGTTTCCAAAACGACACGACTTACAATCTAATGTGGATAAACTAGACTAACTAGGCACCATGTTTTGCAGTTTGGATAGACTTGGATGTCCTTAACGTTTGTGAATTAGATCTGGGGAATCTGTAACGGAGCATGTTGTTAAGGAATTAGATGAGGTAAGATAGTAAAGGCCTTGTGATTTATGTCCTGCTCCAATCATCTGACCCGTACAACGGTCCTGCATGAAAAAAATAATCAAAAAAAGTTATGTTACAATGTAGGGCTTTCTCAAACGACTAACGATACTAGATTAGAAGGAGAATTAGGGACATAAAGAATAGAGTCTAGGGTGGCTGACGATACGGATTTGGATTTTCCAATCCCTTTTGGATTTGTTTGAATCCCATTGGCTAAAGGAATAGTTGAAAGAGATTGTGAATTTACAATATCAACAAAAGTGATTTATTAACAGAGATATGATCAGAAGCCCCCGAGTCTATGACGTATGATCCAAGAGTGCTAGAATGTGACACACAAGTAAAAGAATTACCCGCAACAGAAATATCAGGTTGTGCAATTGAAACTACTTGTGGAGATGTTTGTTTATTTGCACGATACCAAATCAACTCTCTCTATTCATTTAGAACAACAGGATCATAAGTGGGTGGTGGATCATGCAAAATATAACATATGTCACGAGTGTGTGCAGATTTATGACAATGACTACACATGGATTGAGGTTTTCCAAAACGTTCTCTCCCTCGTCTATGCTCCATAGACTGGTATACATGCTAGAAACTGCCGAAAAGTGCTACACTAGTCTGAAAATATTAGAAGTTGTTGGAGTTTGCCCACACTGGCCTGCAAATTATGATTTTGCAGGGATGTTCCCGAAAACTGCTCGAAACTCACCGGAACCCTAATTCCAGTGATCGCATCTAGAGAAAACTAGCCGGATTGTGGTCAGAAATACTAGGCGACCCCCAACAAAAGAAAATTGCTTGAAAAAAAGTGACCAGAGCAGCACTCACGCGTTGGTGCGTGACCAGATCTCGCTGAAAAATTTCCACCTCCGATCGGCGCGTGGGGGCACGTGGAGGGGTATTTTCCAGTGGGTCTAGTTGGGGTTGGTCGCCCGAGCTTCCCGATCCTCATGACAGTGTTGTCGTTTGCACAACACCTTCAAAACGAAAGATGACGCAAATCAGTCCCACTGTCGTGACCGAAATTTGACGTCGATGACTTGAAGTTCTCACCAATGCTCTGTTACCATGTGAGAAATATATGGGCAAAATATTATTGAATTGTATATCTAAATTGTCACATTGACACCCTATTTATCGACACTATATTAGAATCCTTTTCAACTAGGAATCTTATTCTTATTCCTATTTTAAGTAGGAAATACTTATTTTTTTCTATTCTAATAGTAACAACAACTCCAACTAACGAAGAAGTCCTTCCGCAATGGGGAAAATCACCCAAGTAATGCCACAAAAGGAGAGCAAAAATGCACTTGCCCACCACTTGCATTTAATCTAGAGGAAATGCGATCAACGATTTCCCTCACTAGTTTTGAATAATTCATCGAATGATAATGCAGAGTTGCTTTGTTGGTACATATTTAATAAAAGTACATCACTTTCTCTCTAAAAGAAAAAGAATAATTCAACGTGAAGTTGCTGCTATTAAATCCTTTGGTGTTCTTCAACCGAACATATATTGGTTGCCTTCTAGCTGATAATATGATAACTGGATAAGCAGGCTTGCTTATGCCAAGAAGCTTATGTTGTGCTTCTAAATTGGAGTGTTTATCACTGAAGCTGTGACGAGAGTGTTCACTAGTTCTTATAATCTCAGCTGTTTGTCTGCCATGGGTACTTTTAGTCTAAGTTAGAGGTTTATATGTTCAATTAAAGATTGTTAAAGAATAACAAAAGTCCCATATTGGTGGTTAATGAGATAACTGGACTTTTTATAAGGCTTGGGCAATCCTCCTTCCTTTGAGCTAGCTTTTTGGGTGTGAGTTAGGCCTAATACCTATTTAACATGGTATCAAAGCAGGACCCGTCTCACCTGATGTTAAGGCCTCCCAA